TTGTAGGTGAACTATAAATCCCAGCAACTACAACTCCCAAATGTCAAGGTCTATTTTCCCCAAACTACTAGTGTTTACATTTGGGCATACTGAGAATTCGTGCCAAGTTTGGTCCAGATCCATCATTGTTTGAGTCTACAGTTCTCTTTGGATGTAGGTAAACTACAACTCCCAAAGCTCAAGGCCAGTGCCCACCAAACCCTTCCAGTATTTTCTGTTGGTCATGGGAGTTCTGTGTGCTAAGTTTGATTCAGTTCCATCGTTGATGGAGTTCAGAATGCTCTTTGATTGTAGGTGAACTATATATCCCAGCAACTACAACTCCCACAGGACAAAATCAATACCCTCCCCCAATCTGTTACTATTCATAACAGCAGCAGGATGAGTTATGAAGTAGCAACTAAACTAATTTTATGGTTGGGGGGTCACCATAACATGAGGAAACGTATTAAGGGGTCATGGCATTAGGAAGGTTGAGAACCACTGAACTAGAACGTCAATGTCCTGGACTCAGTCCAACACAAAGGTTTGCGTGTGGCATCCATTGTGAAACTCTCTGGTACTCTTGAGCAGCCATCCCACTTTATACAATTAGAGTTTCTGGATGGATTGATCTCCACATCTGCTAATATATGTGTAAATGTGTGAGTATGGGTGGCGGGTGGAGGTTGGAATGTGTATGTTTAGCCTCCGGCCTCAGGAACATCTTTGGTTAGTCCCATGCTAACCAAGTACAATCCTCTCCTACCAGAAGGAGACAAATGAGCATGGATTGTCTCCTGGGGAGGGAGGAAGGCCTGGAGCTCTCCTTGCCTGGCACTTTGCCCCGAGGACTCAATGTGAATCATGACTCCAGCTGGTTAATATGATGTGATGGCTGCCTCCCAAACCCCAAGAGCCTGCCTCTTGCCTCCTGCAAGCGAAACAGATGCTGTCTTGCTCAGTAACAATTAAGCAACAGGAAGATCCCAGCCCTCTCTCCCACCTCCTTTGTTGGTCTTGTGCTGCACAGGCAAAGTAGATGACCTGATTCCCACCTTCAGACAGATTGCAATGCTACGCCAAAAAATCTGCTTTTCCCAAGGAAAGTTTTCACCTGTGTAAAACTCAAGATGTCAAGATGTTGTTCAAAGCAAAGGTGCATGCCGACTCTTGGCAAAAGAACCCAAATCTGAAAGACATCATTCCAATGATTCTAGCATGGCTCAAAACTATGCTTAACTGGAATATGGAGTTGGAATTTGGGGAAACTAGAATTCCAGTTTACTTCATTGGCTCCAATCCAGTCTCCACCCCACCCGCAAATGAACATTAAACAAATGTTGTGCCTAGGTCTCCCTGACAACATCCCAAGAACATAAATGCTTCTCTTGGTTCAGCGCCACAAAAAGCTCAATGACAATTCAACCTTCCTGTCACCAAGGGTTTGTGCAAAGTCTCCGCTCCAGCCTGTTGTGCAAAAGGGAACTGTTTCCGGTTGGAGAAATCGCCCATCTGGATGACTGTACACTTCGTTGCCCAGCAACTGCAACAACATGGCAATTATTGCCACAGTTGTGTCTGCTGTGTTCCTAAAATATCCAAACTGTGCAAGAAGGAACCCCATAAGCAATAACATTAGGCTGAATGTACCAATCAGTCTACATTTCCATTTTAGGATTTCTTTGATTTCTGTGACTTAGGCAGAACACATTAAGGGAGTGCTAAAAGGAGTAGATTAGGATGCTTTCCCCCCTCTTTGTATTTTACAGAAAGTGCAGGAAATGTATTGTCAAAGGCTTTCATGCCAGAAAAAAACAAATCCCCCCCAAAAATACCCCTGGGGTGTAATTTTTGGGTTGTTGTAGGTTTTTTCGGGCTGTGTGGCCATGGTCTAGAGGCATTCTCTCCTGATGTTTCACCTGCATCTATGGCAAGCATCCTCAGAGGTAGTGAGGCTACCAGTATTAAAAAAAACTCTAAAATTGCAACAGCACAACAACAGAGAGGAAGCAGGCGGGGACATCTAATTACCTCTCAACAAAAGTTTGCTCCAGGCACAGTCAGCCCATTGTATGCTAATCAAGGTGGTCAGTTGAAACATTCACACCTAGCTCCAGCAGACAAGAATCCTTTGTCTCACCCTGGTCATTCCACAGATATATAAACCCCTTTCCTAGTTCCAACAGACCTCACTACCTCTGAGGATGCTTGCCATAGATGCAGGCGAAACATCAGGAGAGAATGCCTCTAGGACATGGCCATATAGCCCGTCGGGGTCCCTGGGGGGGTCACGAGGGGCTGTCAGAGGGGTCACCAAAGACCATCAGAAAACACAGTATTTTCTGTTGGTCATGGGGGTTCTATGTGGGAAGTTTGGCCCAATTCTATCATTGGTGGGGTTCAGAATGCTCTTTGATTGTAGGTGAACTATAAATCCCAGCAACTACAACTCCCAAATGTCAAGGTCTATTTTCCCCAAACTCCACAAGTGTTCACATTTGGGCATATTGAGTATTTGTGCCAAGTTTGGGCCAGATCCATCATTGTTTGAGTCCACAATGCTCTCTGGATGTAGGTGAACTACAACTCCTAAACTCAAGGTCAATGCCCACCAAACCCTTCCAGTATTTTCTGTTGGTCATGGGAGTTCTAGATGCCAAGATTGGTCCAATTCCATCGTTAGTGGAGTTCGGAATGCTCTTTCATTTTAGGTGAACTATAAATCCCTGCAAGTACAACTTCCAAATGACAAAATCAATCCCCCCAACCCCACCAGTATTCAAATTTGGGTGTTTTGGGTATTTGTGCCAAATTTGGTCCAGTGAATGAAAACATCCTGCATATCAGATATTTACATGATGATTCATAACAGTAGCAAAATTACAGTTATGAAGTAGCAACAAAAATAATTTTAAGGTTGGGGGTCACCACAACATGAGGAACTGTATTAAGGGGTAATGGCATTAGGAAGGTTGAGAAACACTGAATTAATCCCATGACATCAGGCCATTCAATGACTAAATGCTTGGCTCATTCCAAAAGACCTCACAACTTCTGAGGATGCTTGCCATAGATGCAGGCGAAACATCAGGAGAGAATGCTTCTGGAGCATCGCCATATAGCCCAAAAAACCTACAACAACCCAATGTTCATTCTGTTAAATCTGGCTCTGTATTAAACAAAAAGATCAGAAAAGTTACTTTTTTTGCATTGGGATGCAAGATGTCCAGGTTGTTTCCCACATGTTCAGGTAACAACCTGGAAACAGTTGTAAGAAAAACTTCTCAGAAGTAGCAGGACCTTGGGGAAAGCCTTCAGTTGCTAGGATGTCGGTCATCTCTTCCAACTGCCACACCTCAAAGGCTTTGACAATGTCAGCTTCAGAAATCTATATATTTGGAGCAGGGATGGTGTGGTTCTCCAGATAATTATGTAACTCCCAGCATCCATGGCCACTGGCTATGTTGGTAAGAGCCAATGAGAGTTACAGGATTTTATCATTTAGAGGCCCACAGGTTGTGCAGGTCCCCTTTAAATACTATCATAGCCTAGGCCCATGTCATATCCAGCACAGAAAACTATGCAGAGATTATATTCTAGGAGTATTCTAGGAGATGTGGTCCCAAAAGATACCTTCTCCAAGGTTTTAATTTATATTACTGCAGTCACATTTAGCTAGAATTGTGCCGACTATGTATACCGCCCTGAGTTGCCTTCAGGCTGAAATGGGCGGGATAGAAATAATGTAAATAATGTCCGAACGCATCTCCTTCTACATCCCGCCTCAGAGTTTAAGATCCTCTGGGGAGGCCCTGCTCTCGGCCCCGCCTTTATCACAAGTGAGATTGGCGGGGATGAGGAGCAGGGCCTTCTCAGTGGTGGCCCCTCACCTGTGGAATTTGCTCCCCGGGGAAATTAGGTCATCGACATCCCTCCTCTCGTTCAGAAGGAAACTAAAAACATGGATATGGGACCAGGCCTTTGGGTAATCTGGCAGACAGATAAAGGACAATGACGACTAGAGTTGGATAGGATTATGACAATGCAGAATGAATTTACGGACTTTGAACTTGGCGAACGTTGGTCATTAGATCGGTTTTTTATTAACTGTTATTGTATAATTGGATTGTTTTAACTGTTTATAATTGTGGCTGCTATGTATTTTATTATATTATGTGTATTGTTGGCATCGAATTGTGCCTTTTTGTAAGCCGCTCTGAGTCCCCCTTCGGGGGTTGAGAAGAGCGGGGTAGAAGTGCCCGAAATAATAAATAAATAATGTAAATTTGGCTAATATGTGACAACCAGAATGGGCACCACCCTATCTTTTTTTTTAAAGAAGGGACCTTTTCTATTATACTGCAATGATAACTGGAACGGTCCAGACTATGATATTGGATGATATAATTTTTAAAATTTTAATGTTGATATGTTTTTAGGGGGTGTTTTAATGTATATTTTTTATTTGCTGAATATGTAATGTATGACATCGAATTGTGCCTTATGCGCAGCTATGAGTCCCCCTCAGGGTTGAGAAGGGCAGGATATAAATATGGCAAATAAATAAATAAATTGTTACACTTAACACAGCCTGTTTCTTCCAAAGACTTAAAGTAAAGGTAGTCCCCTGACATTAAGTCCGGTCATGTCTGACTCTGGGGTGTGGTGCTCATCTCCATTTCTAAGCCGAAGAGCCAGCGTTGTCCGTAGACACCTGCAAGGTCATGTGGCCAGCATGACTGCATGGAGCGCTGTTACCTTCCCGCCGGAGCGGTTTCTATTGATCTACTCACATTTGCATGTTTTCGAACTGCTAGGTTGGCAGAAGCTAGGGCTGACAGCGGAAGCTCACGCCGCTCCCCGGGATCGAACCTGCGACCTTTTGATCAACAAGCTCAGCAGCTCAGTGCTTTAACCCACTGCGCCACTGGGGGCTCCTCCAAAGACTTAAGAAGGTAAAAACAAACAAACAAAAACAAACCAAAACCCCTAATCAACTCTGACCAGCCATCTCGTACTTGTTGAAGAGATTGAGGCCGATGCGGTACTGTCGGCGCTGTACCACGTCATTGTTGAAGGCAGGTGAATCCCAGCTGTGTCGCGTCTCCCGCTGGTAGGTCTGTTTGCAGGGCCCACCGGGGGCCGAGGAGGTGCCAGTGGGAGCGGGTGGGGGTGGGTCCCGCAGACTGTCGCGAGAGGAGGAGCCTGAGCTGCAATTGATGGTCTCGTTGGAATTGGTGGTGCTGTTGAGGCTGTCGTTGTCGCCATCTGAGTTGTCTGGCGGAGGAGGCGGGGGCATCCGGCTGGGGGCCTGAGGAGGCGGCATGGGGAGAGGTGGAGGAGGCTGGTTTTGTTCCGGATGATAATGCCGATGTGGATGTGGGGATCGGCCAGGGCCGGCAGGATGTTTGAGGGTGCCGTGGGGGCTGCAGCCATCTTGCTCATAGATCAGGCCCCGGTTGAGAGAGCCCCGATCAGAGCGGTCACTCAGATCTACTGAGCTGTCACTGGGAGGTTCAATAGTGAGTAAAGGGAGGTGGGCACCCCGCAAGCGGTAGTCCCGGCACTCCATGCATGGTGTGCTCCTCCGGCTAGCACCCCCATTCTCCCTGCTGTCCTCACGCTGTGGTCCACCCCAGTACTCTGGCCGTGGTGGTGGTGGAATCGGCACCCCCGTACTGGGCTCGGGGGGGTCAGTGCTGGGCGGGCGATCTAGAGAAAGGGGTGACGTGGGAGCACCTTCCTCCAGGTACAGCGTAACGTCACTGAATGAAGTGGCTGCGCTGTCACCCTGCTGCTCCTTGGACTCACTCTTTTCCAAGGTGGGGCCTCCTGGTCCTCCCTCTTGCCCAAGCGGGTGGCAGTTCAAGGCTTCGTCAATTGATTCTGCCAGAGACTTCACCTGTTGGGAAGCAGACAAGGGAATTAGACACATGGTGCACTCTACTCAGGATTGTGTTGACAATAAAGAAACAAGTAGTGGAGTAATTATATTAAAAATGCTGTACCAAAGAAATCCATCTTCTGTGCTCCACATTAATTAAGCAAATGTGTGCATCTCTTTGAAAGTCAAAACAAGCTTTGGGTATGCTTTTATGAAACACTAGCCGTCCCCTGCCACGTGTTGCTGTGGCCCAGATGGGGGTTCTGTGTGGGAGGTTTGGCCCAATTCTATCGTTGGTGGGGTTCAGAATGCTCTGTGATTGTAGGTGAACTATAAACCCCAGCAACTACAGCTCCCAGAGGTCAAGATTCTATTTTCCCCAAACTCCACCAGTGTTCACATTTGGGCATATTGAGTATTCGTGTAGAGTTTGGTCCAGATCCATCATTGTTTGAGTCCACAGTGCTCTCTAGATGTAGGTGAACTACAACTCCAAAACCACAGGACACTGCCCACCAAACCCTTCCCATATTTTCTGTTGGTCATGGGAGAACTGTGTGCCAAGTTTGGTTCAATTCCATCATTAGTGAAGTTCAGAACGCTCTGCAACAACAATCCTATCTCATCAGACAAAAGCAGGCCCACACTTCCCATTGAAATACTAATAAGTTTATATTTGTTAAAATTGTTCTTCATTTTAATTATTGTATTGTTTTAAAGTTGTTGGTTTTTGCACTACAAATAAGATATGTGCAGTGTGCATAGGAATTCATTCATGCTTTTTTCAAATTATAATCAGTTTGAGGGACTGTGACCTGGCCCTCTGTTTAAAAAGTTTGAGGACCCCTGTTTTAGGGGGTTTGGGCCTTACGGCCCTTCACTGACTCTAACACTGCCCTGCACCAACTCTAACACTTGATATTTCAAAGCACCACCTTAAATACCCCAGATTTCATCTGATCTTGGAAGCAAAGTATATTCAGTCCTGGTTAGTATTTGGATGGCAGAATGTCAATAAATGCCAGATGCTGAAGGTGATATTTCAGAGAAAGGAACTGGCAAAATTACTTCTTGATATTCCTTGCCTAAGAGAACCCTACAAAATTCATGGGTTTGCTGTAAGTTAACAGTAAAAAAACACACACAAACAAGCAAACATACAAATGCCACATTTTGTGGTATTATGTTAGTAGAAATCTCTTCTTTCCTGAGAAACAGGGAGGTTTATTGTCCCTCATTAGCAGCAATATTATAGTTGTGCTGCTGGAGAGAACACAAAAACTGGCAAGGCTAGCCCACAAGTGACCTGTACACTTACATATTGCCTACCTTCCCTCTATAGCATTTAGAACATTTTCAGTAAGTGAGACTGTTGTGATCTTACTATGATGTCTTTTTGTTAGGTGGGGATTATCTGAATAACAACAAATCAGCCTTTCCTCATCAGATGTGAGACTTGAACCAGGAACTTACTGACTTGTAACTCAGGGTTTTTGAAACTCGGAAATATATATTTTTATTACTGCTAGTGTAAAGTGTAAATTTATTCACTAAAGACAACTAGGCAGCTTACAGTATAAATATAATATGAAGCATTTGTTTATTTTTATTTTTCTAATCATTTGCATCTTGCCTTTAGGAAAAAAAAATCCCAAGGAGGCTTACAAAATGAAATCAACAAAGGATTTTAAAAACCAAATAACATCAAACATGAAACTTGAGCAGTTACAGCACAACCCTTAATGTAAAGGGACTGGGATTATGAAGTGGCTGCCCACCATTTGCAAAGCTCTTTTGGCTTAAAGGCAAGTTGTTTGTAGAAGAGTACACAACATTTTATCTCCCTACATTAATTTACAGGGTGAAATGGAATTAATTATGTCAGCTCCTGTTGGAATACAGTAAAGCCCTCATTCCAGTATTCTTTAACACAGCGTTTCTCAACCTGGGGGTCAAGACCCCGGGGGGGGGGGTCGCAAGGGGGTGTCAGAGGGGTCGCCAAAGGCCACCAGGAAACACTGTTGGTCATGGGAGTTCTGTGTGGGAACTTTGGCCCAATTCTATCCTTGGTGGGGTTAAGAATGCTCTTTGATTGTAGGTGAACTATACATCCCAGCAACCACAACTCCCAAATCTCAAGTTCTATTTTCCCCAAACTCCACCAGTGTTCACATTTGGGCATATTGAGTTTCAGTGCCAAGTTTAGTCCTGATCCATCTTTGAGTCCACAGTGCTCTCTGAATGTAGGTGAACTACATCTCCAAAACTCAAGGTCAATGCCTACCAAACCATTCCAGTATTTTCTGTTGTGTGCCAAGTTTGTTTCAATTCCAATCACTGGTGGTGTTCAGAATGCTCTTTGATTGTAGGTGAACTATAAATCCCAGCAACTATGGCTCCCAAAAGACAGAATCAATCCCCTCTTAACCCCGCCAGTATTCAAATTTGGGCATATTGGGTATTTGTGCCAAATTTGGTCCAGTGAATGAAAAGACAGCCTGCATATCAGATATTTACATTTTGATTCATAACAGTAGCAACATTACAGTTATGAAGTAGCAACTAAAATAATTTGATGGTTGGGGGGTCACCACAACATGAAGAACTATATTAAGGGGTCATGGCACCAGGAGAACCACTGTTTTAACGAATGGAAAGGCACTGAAACAACAAGATCAAAAACTATCTGATCTGTCCTTTTTCCACACCTGGAAAACATGATTTCATGAGCCAACTGCTGCCCAAGATACCATCAGGTCCACTAAGCTTTTAACAGGCATTTTAATGGGCATTAAGGTCTGCTGCGGTCTTTCCACTTCACCTCTTTCAAATGACAATTTGGTATTAGTGCAATTTTTTGTTGATATTGGATGAGTTTTAATGCTTTTTGCTATTAGGCACCCTTGTTTGTCCTTCTTTGAGAAAGGGACAAACCCCCCTCTTTTTAAGCTATAAAATCGAGGGAAAGGCTATCGGATGAGAGAGGGTGGACCATTGTATCTTTGGAAAAAGCATTTCTTTTAAAAAATAATTCCTTTGTTCCATCTATTGGAACCTATAAGATTTGCATTTTCATATACTCAGTAGAAGGAAGAAGGGTTCTCCTTTCAAACACCATCCATCAGAGTCATGATTGATTTCGCAAATTTGTCAATCCTCTCATTTCAACTGTCTCCATGTTAAAGGAAGTTGAACATCTCTGTGGGATACCCAGCATCATATGTAGTTGGAATTAAGTCCTAGACTCTGTCATTGAAAAACCATTTGAGTCCTTACAGCAGTGTTTCTCAACCTGGGGGTCGGGACACCTGGGGGGGGTGTCGCGAGGGGGTGTCGGAGGGGTCACCAAAGACCATCAGGTTACACAGTATTTTTTGTTGGTCATGGGAGTTCTGTGTGGGAAGTCTGGCCCAATTCTATCGTTGGTGGGGTTCAGAATGCTCTCCGATTGTAGGGGAACTATAAATCCCAGCAACTACAACTCAAGGTCTATTTTCCCCAAACTCCACCAGTGTTCACATTTGGGCATATTGAGTATTCATGCCAAGTTTAATGCAGATCTATCATTGTTTGAGTCCACAGTGCTTTCTGGAGATAGGTGAACTACAACTCCCAAGCTCAAGGCCAATGCTCACCTAACCCTTTCATTGTTTTGTGCTGGTCATGGGTGTTCCGTGTGACAGGTTTGGGTCAATTCCATCTCTGGTGGGGTTCAGAATGCTCTTTGATTGTGGGTGAACTATAAATCCCAGCAACTACAACTCCCAAGGTCCAGAGAATGAAAATACATCCTGCCTATCAAATATTTACATGACGATTCATAACAGTAGCAAAATTCCAGTTATGAAGTAGCAATGAAAATAATTTTAGGGTTGGGAGTCACCACAACATGAGGAACGGTATTAAGGGGTCGCGGTGTTAGGAAGGTTGAGAACCACTGCCTTACAGAGTCAAGGAATGGGGTGTGTACAAAAGTCAGAGTTCACACTGGTACTACAAAAGCTATTGGGGGCTGTTAGATGTAAAACCTAAATGTTTCCCATTAAAAACAAAGTGAGTCTAGATACCACATTGTCTCTACAAAAATACATTTTTTCTGCCGCTGCCACTACTGGGAGAGCAAATTTGGAGGTGACAGCAGTGGAGACCTAGGAAGTCCAAAAACAGTCAGTGACAACTTTTTTTCGTGTCAGGAGAGACTTAAGAAATTTCAAATGGCTTCTGGTGTGAGAGAATTGGCTGTATGCAAGGACACTGCCCAGGGCTGGATGTTTTTTACCAACCTGTGGCAGATTTTTCTCATATCACCGCATGGGAAGCTAGAGCTGAGACGGGAGCTCACCCAACTCCCTGGATTCAAACTGGCAACCTGTTGGTCAGCAGTTCTGCCAGCACAAGGGTTTAACCACTGATTCCCAAGGATTTGGTAAGGATTGAAAATGAGCATAAAGTAGTTAGAGGTCCTGGAAGAAGGCCAAAAGCGGCAGACCAAGGGGCTATGGGAAGGTCTCAGAGAAAAGAAACTACCTGATTTGATGGGAAACCATGAAAAAGACAGCCTACCTGCTTGGAGAAGGAGTCCTCAAGCTCCGTGATGTCGTTGCAGAAGCCTCCAGAAGAGGAATGCAGGGAGCTGCCATCCAAGCCAGTCCGACAGGAGCCACCGTAGGGTAAGCCGCGGTCCAAGAGATGAGGCCGAGTCGTAGCCATGGAGCCTTCATCCAGAGAAGCAGGTTTCCCTTCGAAGTAAGGGGCATTCTGGGCCTTCTCGAACTCCTCGAAGGAGTACTGCATCCGCATGTTGGAAAGGATGATGCGGCGTGACATGCGGCTCTCAGATGCTGAGCTTCGCAGGCGCTCAAACTTCTTGTTCATGCGATACTGGCGAAAGGCGGTCTGGATGGTGCGAGCTGCCCGTCGGCTCAGGAAATAGCCCCCATATTTCCGCTCCAGCATCTCCACCTGTAATGAGTGACAAAGGCTCAGTTGGGGTAGAGCAGTAGTTCTCAACCTGCGAGTCCTCAGGTGTTTTGGCCTACAACTCCCTGAAATCCTAACAGCAGGTAAACTGGCCAGGATTTCAGAGAGTTGTAGACCAAAACATCTGAGGACTCACAAGTTGAGAACCACTGCTGAAATCCTGGCCAGTTTACCAGCTGCTAGGATTTCTGGGAGTTGAAGGCCAAAACATCTGGAGACCCATGGGTTGAGAACCACTGGGGTAGAGAGTTAAGGACACAGAAATTTCTGGATTTCGGGAAGGGCACAGAAATCCAGAGGGGTTTTACTATTCCCCCCTCTCTCATAGGAAAATATAGAATAGACTATGTCCAGACTTTGGCTGCAATCCTACTGGCTGGTGTAACTGTTCTGAAATAAAATGAGATGGAGGCCCTGCTAGAGTTTTGTCAACAGAGGCAATCTGTGGGCACTATGATGGGCACAGATGATGGAAGCTGCAGCAAGCATTTGTCTTGGAAGGGAATGTGTTTGATGCCTCCCAAGGAATTAGGGGCTATGTCAGGTTTTACAATGTATTGTATTGTAATATAGCTGAGTCATGCACTGCTAATGGGCTTCTATTAGAAATGCTGAGTCATGCATTGACTGTATATAGAATTTCATTTGAGGAATGTGTTCTGGCCTAGTCCATGTGATTGTGAATGATGCAATCCTGGGTCTGAGTTAAGTTAATGAGTTGGGAACCAATCAGAGATTGCAATGTGTAATTGTATAGAATTGTATATAAGGAAGTCATGTACAGTGTATATCTCTCCTTGTGCTGTGATGTTGTTTGTCGAAGGTTATATGTAATTAAAAGAACCTGTCTGCTAAGACAAGATATAACTGTGTGCTGTGGTAAGTCTATAATATCATCTAGACTGGGGGAAAGACAATGGTAAACCTGACAATGGCCGGGCATGTGCTCAAGTGTCTGTAAAAGGTTCCAGCGTGGCTGCAGGCTGTGGGAGCAGTTGACTGAAAATACTGTGCAGGAAGAAGCTACTGGAAAGCGCTGAAGTTGTGCAACTGATCTGCTGCTGAATTGTGAAGTTAATCTCAACAGGCTATGCATTGTATCTTTCTTTTGTTCCCCACACTCTGCCGTGATGTCCCCTCACAATCACAGATCTCCATAAGTCTCTCCCTATCTCTCATTTCTTCATTCAGCTGTAGAGGACTGAAATGTGGCAATTTTTTCTTGCTCTATTCAAGGATCCCTCCCAGATGGATCCAAGGCCACACAACTTTCTCAGGAGCTTCTTGAGTGAATGCTTTCCAAACCTTCAGGAACTTGACCTTTAAGCTAGGAGAGACACTGGCTCCAACATTAAAAGGAGTGTACAGTGGAAATGTGAGTGAAAGCAACTTCATTTGGTTTCAGCTGGTCTAGAGGCCTCTTTCATGTGAACCTCTGCTGCAAACCATGGAGGAAATCTAATCACCATCACTTTGATCAAATTTCCAATGAGGAGCAGATCTAGGCGTGGAAAGCTTCCTTTGTAAGGCCTTGTCTGGCCCACCAGGACCCTAGCATAGGCCATTTCCCCTCAGTTAAGAGCTCTCTACCTGGAAGATGGAAGAAGAGGGGGTATCTTCCTCCATATCCAAAGTGTTCTCCTAGCTCTATGTGTAAAAATAAAGAGGATTCCAATTTCAGAGTAAGAGGCATTCAAAACTTTCAGATTGGGACTGGCCAGCTGGCCAAACTATAATTCTGCCTCAACATTTGAGGTAAACAAATAGTTCATATAGTACAGTGTTTCTCAACCTGGGGGTTGGGACCCCTGGGGGGTCATGAGGGGGTTTCAGAGGGGTCGCTAAAGACCATCAGAAAACACATATTTCTGAAGATCTCTCTGCCTGTCCTCATCTTTGTTGGTGTTGGTGAATGACAACTCCCAGAATTCAAAAACAGCCCCCTCCCCAACCCCACCAGTAGTTAATGTTGGCCATGTTGGTAGTGTGCCAAGTTTGGTGCAGATCCATTTTGGGCTAGGTTCAGAGTGCTATTTGATTATAGGTGAACTTTAAATCCCAGCAATTACAACTCCCAAATGTAAAGGTCTATTTTCCCCAAACTCCACCAGTGTTCACATTTGGGCATATTGAGTATTCATGCCAAGTTTGGTCCAGATCCATCACTGTTTGAGTCCACAGTGCTCTCTGGATATAGGTGAACTACAACCCCCAAACTCAAGGTCAATGCCCAACAAACCCTTCCAGTACTTTCTCTTGGTCTTGGGAATTCTGTGTGCCAAATTTGGCTTGATTCTTTTGTTGGTGGAGTTCAGAATGCTCTTTGATTATAGATCCTCCCCAACCACACCAGTTTTCAAATTCGGGCATATTGGCTATTTGTGTCAAATTTGGTCCAGTGAATGAGAATACATCCTACATATCAGATATTTACATTATGATTCATATCAGTAGCAAAATTACAGTTACGAAGTACCAATGGAAATAATGTTATGGTTGGGGGTCACCAACACATGAGGAACTGCATTAAGGGGTCACGGCATTAGGAAGGTTGAGAATCACTGATCTAGTACATAAAAAACAAAAACAAAAAAAACCAAGACCAACCGACTATGCAAAAAGTGAATGTGAAAATACTATGATTTTTCTGTCTGTAGATTTGGCTGGGACTGAAAGTGGTCTAGATGTTGCTCAATGTCACTTAGACTACTTCAACTATTGTTTCATTCTGCTCTCATTGTAAATCACACAAGGAACGTTGTGCTTCAAATCTGAGGAGCTTAAAAAAACGATTACCTTTTTGTCCTGCAGGTCCGTGGAGAGCTCATAGCTGTCCGACAGAGCCTTGGAACGCTTGCTCTCCTCCTCTTCCTGCTTCCTCAGCGCCACGCTGGCGGGCTGTAGCCGAGCACGTTGGGCCCAAGGTAGTCCCGGAGATGGAGTGTGACAGACAGAAGAGGATGAGGATGGGACCAAGTCGTAGTGGTCAACTTTGGTCACTTCCTGAGCACAGCGGTAAGGAGCCTGACTGCCCAGATTGTCCACTATAGTGCCGGTCTCACTTCCTGGTGGATCACCTTCCACGCTGAAGAGAAAGAGGGGATGGTGTTAGATATACAGTAAACAAAATAAATAAATAAATAAATAAAACCTCCAACATGCCTCTAGGATCAACTTCTGACAGAATGTGACCACAGAGTTGCATGGAAGACCTATAAATTCATACAGAGATCACAGAATCATAGAATCAAAGAGTTGGAAGAGACCTCATGGGCCATCCAGTCCAACCCCCTGCCAAGAAGCAGGAATATTGCATTCAAATCACCCCTGACAGATGGCCATCCAGCCTCTGTTTAAAAGCTTCCAAAGAAGGAGCCTCCACCACACTCTGGGGCAGAGAGTTCCACTGCTGCATGGCTCTCACAGTCAGGAAGTTCTTCCTCATGTTCAGATGGAATCTCCTCTCTTGTAGTTTGAAGCCATTGTTTCGCGTCCTAGTCTCCAGGGAAGCAGAAAACAAGCTTGCTCCCTCCTCCCTGTGGCTTCCTCTCACATATTTATACATGGCTATCATATCTCCTCTCAGCCTTCTCTTCTTCAGACTAAGCATGCCCAGCTCCTTAAGCCGCTCCTCATAGGGCTTGTTCTCCAGACCCTTGATCATTTTAGTCGCCCTCCTCTGGACACATTCCAGCTTGTCAATATCTCTCTTGAATTGTGGTGCCCAGAATTGGACACAATATTCCAGGTGTGGTCTAACCAAAGCGGAATAGAAGGGTAGCATTACTTCCCTAGATCTAGACACTATGCTCCTATTGATGCAGGCCAAAATCCCATTGGCTTTTTTTGGCCTGCATCAATAGGAGCATAGTGTCTAGATCTAGGGAGGTAACGCTACTCCTCTATTCCGCTTTGGTTAGACCACACCTGATCTATGTTCCCTCAGGTCAAAAAACTATACTTACTATTTGTCATTTTTCCCCTTGGGGAACCCCTATGCTCTTAGCTTCAGTGAATGTGGAAAGCCCACTGTAATAGTTAAGGAGCACTGACAAAAGATGAAAAAACTAATTTTAGTGACCCAAACAAACTTTACTTCATCTCTCTTCCCTTCCTCTCACATCACAGTTTGGCCTAATTAGCTTTTAAAAGTCTAAATCAGCAGAATGAACACAATCCAGGATTGGATTTCACCTCTTTAAAGACAGCAGTATCCCTCAGCAGTATATCAAGAGTGGCAGCACTGCTGGTGATGTGTACGTGGAATGTATAGAATAACTGTTCTCTACAAACATGAATTCCCAAACTGCTCCTCATCCTTTTGAATAACCTGGCTGGAATGGTATTTAGATGTGGAAAACACCACAAAAAGTTGGAGAAACATCCCACAGAGCCATTGGTCCAATGAAGATCAGAGGTGATGCCTCTCACCCCTTTTGCCCCACTTCCAGTTACTTTTTTAAGTATCTCCCACCATGAACCAACCTGGGCCCTTTGATTTTCGGGGGAGGCCCCCCTTTCGCCCCTGCCAGTTTCACAAGCTTGCCTTGTGGGCACAAGGGAGAGAGCCTTCTCCTCTGTGGCCCCCCGACTCTGGAACTCATTACCTGGAGAGATTAGGAAAGCCCCTAACCTAGAAACCTTTAAAAAGAACCTTAAAACCTGGCTCTTCCGCTGCACCTTTGGTGAGTAGGTACACAACCTCACATTATTGCTCACCCTCAACGTTTCTGTCACTGGAGTACATGCCCCCCCCCTCGTAGGAAAGCTTGGTCCCACAACCCGTTTGAGCTCCCCTTCTCAAATAACCTGCTCCTCCTTTTATCTCACCTGAGTTTTTTAAAATCATTTTATTCTGCACATGTGGCCCGCCCATTGTCACTGTGATTGTGTTATTGTAATTTTATATTGCAAATTTATTCATATGTAATTATGATGTTGCTGTTTGTTGTTTGTGTTTTTGGTTTTATTTTGCTGTAATTTGTTGCCTGGGCTTGGCCTCATGTAAGCCATCTCGAGTCCCTGTTGGGGGAGATGGTGGCGGGGTATAAAGATGATGATGATGATTATTATTATTATGATTATTATTATTATTAAGGTAACAAGCGAAAACCGCATGTCTATATTGGCTTTGAGAGGCAGAAGAATTTTCTTCCAGAAAGATATAGTCCATGGTTTGAGTAGACATTTAATATGGTTGAAAAAACCACTTCTTTGAGTAGACCAACAGGTTCCTCTGGAAATCAATGTGCAACAATTGGAACGTTTGACAAGAAAATATTAGCTGTATGAAAAAGAACATAGACACAGGATTTTTACAAAGGCAGATAAAGAAAGGAATGTTGCTATCTGGATTGTGGGCTTTTCCAGACTGCAACACAGTTCTAGTAAATTACTGGGCCATTTTGTTTTGAGATTTTATTCCATCTAACAGTTGTTTCCTCTCCTGCAGCCAAGTCTTGACCTAAATAGAAGACCTTGGGGCCCTTCTATGTTTCTTGATATAGCTGATTTTAGCACCACTTTCTTTCTACATCTTATATTTTTCCCCATTTGGTGAGATTAAACTTAGGTCTGGGTGTTGTTAATTGCTATAAAGTCAACTTCAACTTATAGAGACACAATTAATGAAAAATATCCAGGTTTGCCTATCATCCACAGCCCTGCTTGAGTCTTGCAAATGTAGACAGTTGTGATTTAGTTTATCCAGCTACAATCCCATCTTCTTTTTCAACTCTTTCTACTCCTACCTCATCCAGGGTTTTATCATTTTACTTTGTCCATGTGGCCCGCCCATTGTGTTTGAATTTATATCATGTTATTTTGCTTTGTTTACTCTATTCTGCTATTGTATGTATTTTATTGTGATGTAATTTTTGTTGTTTTTGCTGTCTGCAGTTTGTATTTTATTTTGCTGTATTGTATTTTTGGGCTTGGCCTCATGTTAGCCACCCCAAGTCCCCCCCCCCCCCCGGGGATATGGTGGCGGGGTATAAATAAAGATTATGATTATGATTATGATTATTATTTGAAGCACAACAAAATGAGTCCACAGCAGACACTCCGCTGGCTGTTGAATTGGATCACACATCGGACACTTCGCAATTGTCTAGGACTGTGTGATGTATCAGCGGATAATATGTGCAGATCCCAGTAAGATGGTCTTCTGCAGGTGGCAGATGGTAATTTTGTCAGCGCCGATTTTGTTTAAGTGCAGGCCAAAGTCTTTAGGCACTGCACCCAGTGTGCCGATCACCACTGGGACCACCTTTACTGGTTTGTGCCAGAGTCTTTGCAGTTCGATTTTTAAATCCACATATCGTGTCAGCTTTTCCAGTTGTATTATTATTATTATTATTATTATTATTATTATTATTATTATTACTCTTCTTCTTCTTCTTCTGATTATTATTATTATTATTACTCTTCTTCTTCTTCTGATTATTATTATTATTATTACTCTTTTCCGACGACCTTCTACCTTATCAAGAAATATATTTTCTAGGAAGCAATGTCTTCTCTTTTTTATTTTTCTTTTTTTTTGGTGCAAGTCGCTTCTGGTTTGAGAGAATTGGCCATTTGCAAGGAGGTTGCCCAGGGGACGCCCAGATGTTTTGATGTTTTACCATCCTTGTGGGAGGCTTCTCTCATGTCCCCACATGGGGTGCTGGAGCTGACAGAGGGAGCTCAACCCACTATCTCCGGCTTCAAACCACTGACCTATCGGTCAGCAGTCCTGTCAGCACAATGTTTTAACCAATTGTGCCATCGGAGCTCCATGTTTTCTCATAATATGGCTAGGGTATGATAGTCTCTGTTTAGTTATCCTGGCTGCAAGGGAAAATTCAGGATTGAATTGATCTAGGACTTATTTATTTGGATTATTAACCAGTAAGAGTATTCACAGAACTTTTTTTAATGGATGCAATTTCCTAATATCCTCAACATCCTATGAATTCAACACCTCCCTTTGTATGTTCCATCCTCTGTATCCACACTCCTCATCTTGAACACTCTATTTACTTGTATACTTTTGTGCAGTCATCGTGCAAACCTGAGATAAGACTGTGTCACTTTACAAACAGAATTCTAAAAAAAAGGAGGAGGAAAAACTAGTTTGGCAACCAGAAATGTAATGACAGAACACAGGTCAGCAGGAAACCTCCATAACAATGATCACACCTCCATTTGAAATGTTATCAGTGGGACAGGCCAAAAATATAGTGGGAGGAACTGGTACAATGGATACAGCCTGTGACATTTACTCCAGCCTGTATTAAAAACTTGCCCAACAGGAAAAATAAACAACAACCGAGTTTGCAGTGAGCATAAAAAGTTGCAACTAGGAGGAAAAAACTCAGGACAGAATAAATGTCATATGGATATACAGTATACACACCCTGTTAAGTACACCTACATCTCCTGTCTACTCCTGAGGCTTTTGGATAACCTGGAGGAGCCCTGAATTGAAAGGATTGAGGTGATGTGTTTACAGGATCATGGTCCACACCTTACTTATAAGAAAATCTTGGTGTTATGCAAAATGCTTCAACATACAGGACAGTTGGGGAAACTTGGGCAGTGCTGCCTTTATCGCGGTTTATGCAAAGGAGTCAAGATCTATGTACCTGCTCACAGATGGGGCAAACCAGAACAAGGTGAACAGAGTCCTATGTCTGCAGGTCCCCCTCATGCATGCATTAGCTAGAGTCGAAAGTGAGAGGCCAGAACAAGCTTGGCATGCTGACAGTGGGCAAGTACATCCCTCATGTCTTTGCCTGAACATTTGCAAAAGACTCATCATCTATCTGTAATTTAGGAGTATCTTGTTTGCAGGCTTAGGGAAAGTTTTTATTTCCCAACTAGCTGTCCCCTACCATGCATTGCTGTGGCCCAGCTGCTGTGGCCCAGTCTGTGTATATGTGTTTTGCATGTGTATATATTTGTGTATGAGTATATGTGTGTTTGTGTATATATGTGGTTTTGCACATGCATTGTAATTTAATTTTTGTTTTTTGGCTTTCTAAGTCTCTTCCGCTGTGTTTTTATGAGTGATGGTCACTCGTTGGCCTGATACCTGTATTG